AGTAAAAAACTCAACATCCACTAAACCAAATAACCCCCTCCCTCTGTATCCACTATAACAGCTATGAAATGCGGGAACAGAACAACCAAATCCTGAGCATTAATATGCCCATTCCAAAGACACACTGGACATAATGCACAGAGAAAATACAAAGAGCTGGGGCAGACTGGTAAGTGTAGTTCTTTAGCTCATAGTTCTCTTATTCTTTTAACTTATTTTGAAAGTATAATATTGTTTATATTATATAGTAATATTGTTTATATTATATAGCAGTAGTAGCAAAAGCTATATTGTTGTGTTTACATTATAACATGTAGGTGCAATAAATGACAATAACAGCACAAAGGAGGTGGATGAAAAGGAACAAAGTTGTTGTATTTTATCCGAATTAAGTCACTAGTAATCTGAAGTAGACTGTGTTAAATTAAACATGCATACTGCAATTTCTAAACAAGCCATTAAGAAAATAACTCAAAAAAGTAGCTAAAAATATCATCTGAGGAATTAAACTGGCACATTGAAATAATCTGTCTGACATAAAGAAAGGTAATGAGGGAGGAACAAAATGGAACGGGAAAAACAGAAAACAACTATCAAAATGGCAAGCTCAAATCCAATCATATCAATAATTAAATTCTCTAATAATAAACAGGAAAGATTGTTAAATTGTCGGCAAAAGCAAAACACAACCCATGTGCTGTCTATGAGAGACACACTTTAAAGAAAGGGGGGAAAAGCAGCAGATGGAAAAAGATATACCAAGAAAACATAAGAGAACTGGGATGGGTATATCAATACCAGATGGAATAGACTTTAAGAGAAGTAATATCACTAGCTCCATTGCTCTACCGAAGGCCCTCGACAGCTCCTGCCAGGAAACCCTTTACTGCAGCTACAGTTACAGCTCTTTCCAGCTTCAGGTAACCATGCTCTCCTCTCGCCCATGCAGGCCTAGAGAAGGTAATGACTCCCTGTGCACACCTTTGAACACAGTCCTGCCACTAAATTCTTAGTTACTGTGTGATATATCATCTGTTTCCTGATGGGACCTTAACCTAGACAAAGTCCACACTCCTTGCCTTGGTTTGAAAGAGACTAGTTGCTTATTAAGCATCCATTTTTAGTTGGGCATTTGCTGCCCAAGCTAAAGAACTACACTTCCCAGGCTGCTTAGCTCATATGCTGAGGCCACATGAACTACTAGGTGTATCAGTTAATAATGTGGATTTTTTTTTTTCAATAAATGGAGTTACACATATGAGGAGTGAGAAATAGGAGTGAGAAATGGACTTCTACTTGAGAAATAGTGAGTGAGAAATGGAGTTACACATATGAGTGAGAAAGAGGAGTGAGAAATAGACTTCTACTTGCTTTAAAACATTGTTTTTCAATGTTTTAAAGCAAGTAGAATTACTACCTAATCCTAACTGATACACATGATCAGCCTGTGGGGTCCCAGCTGATCTTGCCCTGGCTTCCTTTCTAACCTCACAACTAAATGTCACCTCCTCTAAGCCGGCTTCCTTGACCATCCTAACAGTAACCCATCCTCATTCTCAGTCTTTAGAGCACTCTGCTGTGTCCCATCAAGGTATTTGTCATTTGAAATCTATATATTTGTTAGTTTATTTCTTTTTTGTCTATCTCATTAGGCTTCATTAAGGAGGGTCTCTCTCCCTCTCTTCCTCCCTCTCATGAGTGTATATCATATAAAGTTATCTCTGCCATAAACCACTTTGTGCCTTGCATATGGTAGGCAGGCTCACAAAATATTTATTTAAAAAATACACACCATTATACTTCACTTTTATCCGACCTCTTTTCTCATCAATTAAACCAGGGCATAAGCAAGTTTTTTTTGTAAAAGGTCAAAGAGTAAATATTTTAGGCTTTACCATCTCTGTTACACAGTTGTTGTCCTTGTATTTTTTCCCCCTAACAATCCTTTAAAAACATAAAATCCAGCTTAGCTCAAGGACCATACAAAAACTGGCTGAGGATGTGATTTGTCCCACAGGCGAGTCTTCCAACCCTTGGCCCAGACTCCAAGTGTCTTAAGATCAAGCCTGAGTTATCTACATATATAAAAGGCTAGGTTAATTCACACATGTGCGATATATACAAAGCTCTTTGATCTATCATTGTTGATCATGAATTTGGTTGACATTTCTATTATAGAGAAAGGGCAAATAGGATATTAAAATATTTCTTCTAATTAATTTCCTTTCAATGTGCGTGAATCTGTGCACCAGGATACTAGTTTTCTTATATACCCCCCCCCCCCCAGCCCTCGCCCCAGAATCACAGGATGCCAGGACACTGAAGAATCTCCCAAGTGTATGCACTGTTTCCCTGAGGGCATGGCTGCTTCCACACACTCCGGGCGTCCGAGCCACCTTTCTCCAGAGAGCAGAGCCTCTTTCCTCAGCATCTACATGCTCCGAATTATTGCCAGCACCTGCTCTTTTGACAGCACTCTTCCCAGTCCTGGGTGGAACGGGGTAAAGGAGGATCCCTGGGGTCCTGCCAGGTCTCCAACCTCATGGAGTAGTGGAGCCAGCCACTTCCTTCTTCCTTTTCACATTCCTGAGCTCTCAGAATAATTCCCTGCACTGTTCTATCATTACGTCTCTGTAACCCCATATTCACATCCCCATCAACATGGAAAAAAATGGGAACTAGTGGTCCCTGGGGTGTTGTAACCAAACAAGCAGATGCTTCCAAAGGAAGGTAAGTGTCAGATGCTTAATGCATGACTGAATTAAACACACTATCTCCAACCAAGCTTTGCTCGGATGTAGCAAGCCCTGGCGGAAGAAAGAAGCAAAAAGGAGGAAACAAGTTACTTAAAGACAAGCTGTGAGTTAATGATGGAGCAGGAAGCAGCATCCAAGTCCCCTGATTCAGAGATGAGGTCTCATCTGTCAGAAGAGCCCAATGTAGGAAGTGACACCGAGGCAAGGAGGATCGCAGCCTCAGGAGGCACTTGGTGAAGTCAACTAAATGAATCCAAGGTCCCTGTGGCTGCTCTCATGAGCACCTGGGGGTTCTATGTTTGTGAATAAGATAATATTTAGTGAAAATTTGACCATGGGACTTGGTTTTGCATGGACGTCTGACTTGGGGAAGCTAAGGAAGGGAGGTGGAGAGGAACTGGAAGAAGTACTGGACAGATGGCACCATGGGGAAGTGCTCTGGGGAAAAGGGCTTCTGAAGGGAAGGAGTTGTGACCCTGGAGGCACAGAGAGAAAGCTGGCAGGAGCTGAGCGATGCATGTTCTTTCCTCCCTGAACACCACTTCTGCTGGCCGCACGTAAAAAACACAGGTTAGAGCAAGCAATGCCAAGAATATATTTTCCCTAATATCTGATATAATCGGACATCCAGTTCTTTGAAAGTAGAACCATAGAGAGGGACCAGAGTAAGTTTCAGGGAAGAGTTGAGTTTTCATGCCACTTTGGGATAAAGAAACTGGCTGAAGCATCCATCTCATTTAATGTCTGAGGCTGTCCTTTCCTGGGTCCCTCTCCCACAGCCACTCTGCAAGGACTTGGCCTGTGGCCACCACCGCTGGAGGCAGGGTGCAGGACCCTCTTGCTGAACTGGATGAGGGGAATCACACCAGACTAGTCACCCAGACAATCATCCAGAGTCATGAGAGACTAACCGAGGATGCAAATAGAATCTGGGGCTGGGTTAAAGGCTAGAAACAGAATCACCGGGATTAGATGGTGGGGCGAGTGGATATGGAGACTAGGAATTAAGATCTCACCAAGGAATCATGGCTCAGAATGCAAACCAAAGCAGGGACACAGAGTCAGAATAAAATGTGGGGCTGGAAATGCCCGTACGACCACAGAAGACGGTGAGCAAAGAGGCGACTGCAGGAGGCCTGGACTGCCAGGCTATCTCTCCCACCGGGCCCTGCGTGGTAGGTTAAGCTTTATATGCCGACGTCTCAACAGAACTGAACAACCAGATCCCCAGTGTTCACATGAGAAAATGCAAGTAGGGGGAGACTCGTCCTAGTGCTTTGAAGCTCATGTAATAAGTTGGAGGTACACCCAAGATGAAAGCCTTCACCTCTCTAACTGTTCATCTGTGCACATTATGAACACAAATGATAATGCTTACTACATTTTCCAGGTGCATGGAAAAAGCGGTCCCAGTGTGTGGCTAGTCATAGGCAGGAGCTCAAAAAAGAGGGCTATGCAGCTAGGTGGTTGCCCCTGGAAACACTCAAAGATAGGGAGAACCCACTCCTGACAATCACAGCCAACTCTCAGTCATCTTAGGCGTTCCTCCTCCCTCTGCCCCTCGGACATTTTAGTGTTTCCTCCCTTACTAGCGGTCGGTGTGAAATCAGGTGAGACAAACTAGTTTGAGAACCATTTCAGCCTAAGCAAATCACAGCCAGAAGGTCAATCTGCTGGGGAAGGAAAATCTCCCAATCCAATATTTTTATCCTATCCGAGGGCTGGCTACACAGGCCAAAGCTTTTTGCTTCCTGAGAGTTTATTAAGGTCTAGGGAAGTTGTAGTTACTGAGTGAAGTCAACCCAAACCCACTGCTATTGAAAAAGCTGGAACTTCTTTGCATTGAACTTCAAGACTGGGCGGTTTGCACACCAAATTAATAAAGAATTAAGGTCTTGATTACTTGCAACTTGAACCTGACATTGTGGGTCACTGGTTCTTATAAAACAAAGAAATAAACAAATGAGACTCCAAATTATCCATCAAGAGAAAGCTCGACCAACACTTATTGACTGGCTGATTGTTATACAACAAACATTTAAATACACCTACTCTGTGGAATAAAACTGAAAAGCAAGTTTGGGAATACATTAAAACATTGTTTCACCTTTAAGATATAAATATACTAAAGTAAAAGAAACCAAGTCAGAACAATACCAGTAAAGATTCTCATGCTCATTATTGCATGTGGTTTAGCACATTTTCAAATGCATGCTGACATGCTAATAGCAAAAGTATACTCACTGTGTACAAGAAAACAAAAATCTTTCCACATCAGCAGCAGGGTGAGTTTTGTAAAGCCTTCTGCATCATATTCCACGACACCTCTACGTAATAAAAACATACACACACACACAAACAAAAACTCTTATAAAAATAAGGTATAAAAGAAAATAGAACAAGTAAAGAACATATTCATGAAGTCAGGGTTACTGAATCTGAGATGCATTTAGGGTGAGTGAGTGCTACCATGGAAGGATGTAGATTTGGAATGACAACAGCTGGTTTAAGTGACAGCTTTGCCATTGACTACTATGATTGCAGGCAAATCACTTAACCTTTGGAGCATCAGTTTCCTCATCTGTAAAACAAACATAAGAATATTTCCAGCCTTCTTTGCAGGCTGTGAAAAACAAACCATAGAATGTTAAGCTAAACCATAGAGTGCTAAGCAAAATGTCCATTACTAGCTGTGAGTAAAGGACAGATTGGGATCAGGGCAGCAGGGACATCACTGTCCTACAGTGGTCGTGAGTTCCACTCCCACTTTGGCACTGAGCAGCAGTGAGCAATGGCAGTGCTACTCGGAATCCTTCACTTGTGCCTGGGCCCTCCCTCCCCACCGGGCACAGGACAAAGTGGCAATGCTGGCTGGGTGGACACTGGGCTCAGGTGAAAGAGCGGCTCTTGACTGTGGAGGGGTCTGGCAGGGTTCGGTGGGCTCCCAATGTCATTTCCTCCAGAGCTGAGAGCGTGGGGAGTGTCACAGCATGACAGCACTCCCCGCACACCCGGACAGGACCAATGTTCTCTCCCACACACAGAAGGCCTCTGCTGTCCTCAGAGACGCCTTCTCCTGGCTGAGTCAGGCCAATCAGACCATTGATGCTGATGGCCGCCCAGTCTAAGTACAAACATGAAGGAACAGCTGCACCCCTGTAAAGCTAAAGGGACGCAGACACTGAGGCTATGTGATGTGCTCCAAGACCGTGTGCATATCATTTAGATTTTCTGACTTAATCAACAATCTTATTCACCAGTTTATACTTCTTCTCATTAACTTATAACTAACTCATTATGTTACTACACTGATATTTAGACTTTTTAGGTCTTACATCCCATAAGCAAAAACCAACAGAGATGCCTCATCATGTATCATGGTGGGGCAAAAGTAGGCTTAAAGTTGTTCATATGGAAAATAATATAATAATTAATAAATAATAATACAAGAATAAATTGTTTCATGTACTCACAACTTTAAATCTACCTTTTCATCACCCTATATAGTTTAGTATTATAGTAGTATTTATATATAATTAAGTAGTTTCATACAAGTATTACTGCACAATAAAACATATGCAAAAATGTACATTTCAGCCCTGACTGGTTTGGCTCAGTGGATAGAGCATTGGCCTGCGGAGTCAAGGGTCCCAGGTTCGATAATGGTCAAGGGCATGTACTTTGGTTACGGTCACATTCACCGTGGGGGGTGTGCAGGAGGCAGCTGATCGATGTTTCCTTCCCATCGATGTTTCTAACTCTCTATCCCTCTCCCTTCCTCTCTGTAAAAAATCAATAAAATATATCTTTTAAAATGTACATTTCAAAGAATGAGGTTTCAAAACAAATGTAAATGCAATTTTCATATTTTTCTTGTACAACAATGGAGTGAGGTGGAGCATGCATTCCGGGACACATGTACTTTAGAGGTCACCGTGCTGGCTTCTGCACTTTCAATGATATATACTAACGGTGATTTTACAAATTAACAGTCATATCTTAACTACTGTTTGTATCAGAAGTACTTTCTCAAAATGCTCCTAAATAAAGCTGAAAAATTTCAAGTACTAAATACTTATGGGATGGCTAACTTTATTTCATTTACTCTTTCCTATTTCCACTTTCCTTTTGTCCCAGTTTCTTCCTTTACTGGTTTAAAATTTTAATTTGTGCTACTGTATTTTCATGTATTTATAAACCTTCTCTGGAATACGGTGGGCTGTACCCAGACCATGAAACCCTAGCGCTCTGTCTCCGCTCAAATGGGTAGAACGAGGCATCATCAGAGCAGCCCACGAGGAAAGAGCAAGCCTTCCCTGGAGCAGAAGTTTGGAGAGGCCTCTGCCATCACGTGCGGGGACGTAGAGGATAGAGCTGCCCAGCACACTGCCCCTAGCCCCTGAAGGGGCAAACACAGGGGCAGCAGTGGGACATGCCCGTCCTGTCACTGCAGTTCCATGCTGCCCCTTTCCCCTCCAGTGCTTCTTCCAACTCTAATCTGTGCGGCACTGTCGGGAGTGGGATCCTGTTGGGAGATCCAACCCTGAGAAGCTGGGTCCCACCCTGGTCTCTCTCCCTGTGTAGCTTCTGCTGGGTTGCTAAACTTCTCAAAGCTGCAGGGTTTCATCAGGAAGATGTGTCACTCCCCCTGCCTGGTTCGCCTCCTGACACCCCTGAGCTGAGGGAGGTGACAGTGCCCTGCACACGGGAAAGGGCTCTGTACGAGTGTAGGCTGCACCCTTCCTGCTGCGTGCGGGGCCGGCCCTGCTGCTGCGTCAGGGAAGATATTCCGTTTTGTTATCTGCTAAAGAAGCTAAAAACATCTTCCTGGAAGCTTCAGTGGAAGCAACATACCAAAAAAAGAATCAAATATATGAACAAGTTCTCTTAATAGCAGTGTGCTGGTTAATTTAAACTGAAAAGGAAATCTCCATGAAAGTTCTGAAAACTATTTCTGGATTGATGTTGTGTCTCAGCTCTTAGGCCAGTGATTTCTGACTGCAGCTCACATCAGGGCCATCAGAGTGTGAGGGCATTGCTGACATACAGTGCAACCAAGAAGGACTCACGTGCCAAAGTGGCTGAGGAAAGCAGCAATGTACTCTCTTCTCTTGTGGTATCCCTGGATCACATACTGCACCTGGAAAAGGAACCCAAAGCGGAGACATTTTAATGCTTTATTATGAAAAGTTTCAAAGAGTCAGAGAAGTAAAAATAATAGTGAAACAAACATCCATAGTCCTGCCACATATATTTAGCAACTGTGAATATTTTGTCTTCTTGCTTTATCTAGCCATCTACCTACCTATCAATCTATCAATCAATGTTGCTGAAACATTTCAAAGAAAATTAGAGACAGTGTGATAGTTAGCCATAAATACTTCAACATGCATCTCTAAAAAATAAGACATTTTCCTGCATAACCACAGTATCATTATCATGCCTAGCAAATTCAGCAATCGTTCTTTGAATCCATGTAGAATCCTGTCCATCTTCAAAAGTTCCCAGTTGTCCCCAAGACATTTTGTTAAAGCAGGGAATCAGGCAATTCAATCAAAGGCTTTTCATCTAGAATAATAGTGCCTCCTAGGGGTGTGGTCAAGTGTCATGTATGTGTGCTTGCACATGCAATATGACACTGACTTTTCAAAGTGATTGGACAAGTTGTGTTGTAGAACGTTCTGCATTCTAGATTTTTCTCATTCTTTCCTTTTCCCACTACCCTCTATATTTCCTATAAATTGAAAATTAGAGCTAAAGATGTGATTAGATTCAGGTTAACTATTTTGGCAAGAAAAATTCACAATTAATACTGGGTTTGATCACTGGTTCAGATGATAACAGCAGATTATCACAGCGAGTAATCTATGGGTATACCTCTCAAAGCTTATGAAGATCTAGTTCCCCATAACTTTTCACTCATAGTTTCAGTATCTGTTGGAGATGCTTGTCTGAATCAATTCTTTCCTTAGGGCCTGAAAATATGGTGATTTTTGAGTTCTATCTGCATTTCTTCTGCATTTATCAGCTGGATTTCTTGGTAAAGAGCTTCTTCCCATCAAATAAAATGATTTGGTTATCATGAACTAAACCCTAATATTCAGGATAAGGAGTGTTGCAATAGATTTTATTTTGCTTTTTTTACTTTTCCTTGTTATCCCCAAATGAAATTTCTATTAAAAATTGTGATAAACCAAAGAACTTATACACTTACTAGTAGCTCTGTGTAGAATCTGTGTACCAATAGCTCTCTGTGGGGCCTGGTTGCTCCCACGCCCATTGCCCAGAGTTTCTCTGCAGCCCAGAGGCCCATCTGCAGTGGAGCGTGGAATGTTTGCCTCATCACCATGGTGACAAAGCAAGCATTCCACCAGGCCGCTCATGCTGCCTGCTCTCAGTGGCCGCCCACCCACACACCTGGAACTGGGGACTCCGGCAGGCTGAGAGGATTGGGTACTGCCATCTTTTGTGATGGAGTGATGGTAATTTGCATATTATCCTTTTATTATATCGGGTCTAGTAATAATTAGTGTCGTTTTTAAACATTCATTTAAAATCTTGCTTGGCGTTGACTTGTATTGACATAACCTTCAAACACGTGGTATCTACAGAACGTGTGAAGTGCAATTAACAAGTTTTGCTTGAAAAAGTTTGTGTTTGGTTTGGTTTTTGTTGCAAAACTAGGGCTAAGAAGATGGCGGATGAAGAGCATATTCGGCACTGCATGCTTTACGAGTTCCAATTAGGAAGAAAAGCAAGTGAGGCTGCAAAAAACATCTGTAGTGCTCTTGGTCAAGATGCAGTTAGCGCCAGAAAATGCCAGCGTTGGTTTGAGAAATTTCGCGACGGAAATTTTTTGTTAGATGACAAGAGTGGTCGAGGCCGTGTGTCCAATTTTGATCAAGAAGCTCTTCAAGCTCTTTTGGTGCAAAATCCTCAAATTACCCAACAAGAGCTTGCGACAACTTTAAATTGTTCACAAAAAACAATTTCCAATCAATTGCGTGCACTTGGCAAAGTCCAAAAGTTTGGAAAATGGGTTCCTCATGAGTTGACCGACAACCACCGTAATCAAAGAGTCACAATTTGCAGTTCGCTCGCTCCTCTCTCGTCAAAACCGTTTGCCGTTTTTAGAGCAAATAGTTACCGGAGATGAAAAATGGGTGCTGTATGTTAATTTGAAAAGGTGGCCTCAATGGTTGGACAAAAATGAGGCTCCGCAGCCCATGCCAAAACCTGACTTGCATGCGAAAAAAGTGATGTGTGTTTGGTGGAATTTTAAAGGAATTCTTCATTATGAACTTTTACCATCTAACCAAACCATTACAAGTGCTGTGTATAGTGCCCAAATGGAAAGGTTAGCCCAAGCTTTAAGAGAAAAAGAACCCGCGCTGATTAATCGGAAGGGCGTAATTTTTCACCACGATAACGCACGACTGCATACTGCAAGAATCACTGCTGAAAAACTGCGCCAGTTGGAATGGGAAGTTCTCCCTCAACCTGCATATTCTCCTGATATTGCCCCTTCCGATTACCATTTGTTTCATTCTTTGCAAAACTTTCTTCTTGGAAAAAAATTTAATAATGAAGAATGCCTCAAAAATGCATTGACCGAATTTTTTGCATCAAAATCACAAGAATTTTACAACAGAGGGATTAAAATGCTTCCCGAGCGTTGGGCACAAGTAGTAGAAAACAACAGCAACTATATTGTTGATTAAATTTTGTTGTATTGTTTAAATAAATTCGATTTTTAAAAGTATTAGAAAACGACATTAAGTATTACTAGACCTAATATATAGGATTTATTAGATAGGATATGCATAGCTCATGGACCTAGGAAATAGGGTAATGAAGAGCTGGAGGGAGGGAGAAGTGAGGGGAAATGTGAGATATCTGTAATACTATCAACAATAAAAAAATATAAAAAAGAAACCTGTGAACTCAGCAAGCTAGGCATCTATCTGAAAGTTAATTATTTACACATCAGCTTCTAACACAAAAATATATTACTTCTAATGTCCTTATAATGGCTGCAAGAAGCAGTGGGAGAAAGGGATCCCCCAAATTGTTTATACTGGCTGTGGCCACAATGTGTTTCCATGGCTCACAAAAGCTTGAGATAAAGTGCTTGAAATAACCTTGACACAATTGGTACTGATAGCCATGTTGTACCCTTTAAAAGTAAAACAGTTCTATTTATATAATGGGGGTTTATGTCAATTTATAAAAACAGTGCTTACTTTGCAGGATCAGAAATGTTATTTTGAGAAAAGAAAAACAGATGATAAGTTTGCTTAAGTGGCTTTGTTTAGAAAAGGGATGAAAACAGTTCTGTACACTTGATTTTAAAAACAGAAAACCATTTTAACAGAAACCCACAACAAAACTGGCTATAAAGATAGATTCCAACGTAATTATGGAAATTCATCAGAAGAGATTGTTTCCAAAAGCAGCCATACTGTCCTCGTTAGAAGCAGGCGGAACATCTATTTTAAAAGACAAGCGAAATTAATGAAAGGGAACCAGATAAGAAAAACAAACTGATTCTTGTATTTCTGGGGAAATGTATTATACTTTTTTTTTTTTTTTTTTTTAAGAAAAATGTATGACTAGAAATTAATCTCAATTGGAGAGCTTTAAAAAGGCTTGCTACTTAGTTCTGGAAGACCAAATTTGCATTCTTCCCCGTAATACTGGGACACAGGTTGGGAGGCAGTGCGAAGTCCCACAATGTAAGTAAGAATGCTGTCCTCTGATCAGCTTCATAGGAGGGAAGAGGCTGGGGAGTTTGGTCCAGTGAGAAGCAACCACTCGATGAAAGTGAAATACTCTGGAATCCGTGCCAGGCCCATACTGCAGAGTTGCCAGGTTTTAGTTTCTCTGACATTTAAAAAATAATATTGAAGCCTTTGTAAGATATTTTCTATGTAGAGATGAGCTTGCTTTTTTCTTTTTAGCTGAGTTATCTTTTGAATGAAAGACAAAAGATTTATTTTTCAAGGCAATGTGAACCAATCAACAGAAGCAAGAGAAACACTTTGGGAATTAAGCAAACAGAGTCAGTCCACGTAGGAGAAGAAAGTCAGTGTTGCTTGTGGATCAATATCTCCAGTTTTTAGCTACATACACTGGCTGAACATACATTTTGAAGATATCTGACAACAGCCATTAATGCAAACACAGCTACTTGTAATGGCTCATTAATGCAGCTAACAGAAAGCGTTAGATAATCTGGTGAGCCTGGCCACAGCCCAGCTGACCTGAAAACCTTGCCCTTAAGAACAGGAATCTGGCAAATGGCTCCATGACATGACAGGGAGAATCAAGAACTGACTATTAACATGTGAAGTACAGAAAAACAGCAGGAGATTAAGGAAGCTCTATAGATTTGCCCGAATATTAACCAGTGACAAACACACACACAAATACATACTCACATGCACACATAGACTACAAGAAATGAAGGAGTTCAAAATTTTTAAGCCATTGAGGAGGTATGGATTTAGCAAATAATTAGGACATGAAGGAAATGCAAGAAAGGGGAGATGCAAATTTAAAAGATAAAGATAAGAGTTGAACAGGAGGTCAGAATCCCTAGAAAAGGAAGAAAGAAGGTAAAGAAATAGTGAGAGAAACTGATAAATTGTAACCCAAAGTCGTTATTGGATGGAGGTGGAAATTAAGAAGATGGGGTGAAGAGGGTGGTGCCTGCTCGGTGGGATGGTACTGGGTGCAGGCTACCCTGGAGGAGGGCCTCACAAGGGGGGTTACCTTTACCTTGTTGGTGAGCAGGTGGCATACTTGAGGGACGTAATCAATGAGACATCCTCCTCCTGGAAAAGCTGGAATGTGAAGAGCTGAGGAGCCTCCAAGTGCACTGAAAGGACAAGAGCCAGTGGACACTCTTCTTAGGGCTCAAACCATTGAAGAAGTGAAACCCCAAACAGACTTGGCTTCTCTTATCCAAGTCTGCCCTCCACCTACCTGAATTAATGATGGTGGGAATAAGGGCTTTGCTTTATGATTACACTAGAGGCCCGATGCACACAATTCGTGCAAGGGGCTTGGCCCTCACAGCCCTGGCTTCATCCAGAAGGTTGTCTGGATGGTTGCTCTGCTGTTTGGCCATCCAGTCTAATTAGTATATTACGCTTTTATTATTATAGACTAGAGGCCTGCTGCATGAAATTCATGCATGGGGGGTTTTCCTCAGCCCAGCCTGCACCCTCTCCAATCTGGGACCCCTCGAGGGATGTCCAACTGCCCATTTAGGATCGGACCTAAACGGGCAGTTGGACATTCCTCTCACAATCCAGGACTGCTGGCTCCCAACTGCTCACCTGCCTGCCTTCCTGATTGCCCCTAACTGCTTCTGCCTGCCAGCCTGATTGCTCATAACTGCCTTCCCCTGCAGGCCTGGTCCCTCCGCAACTGCCCTCCCCTGCAGGCCTGAGTACCCCCCCAAGTGCCCTTCCCTGCCAGCCTGGCCACCCCCAACTTCCCTCCTCTGCCAGACTGATCACCCCTAACTTCCCTCCTCTGAAGGCTTAATCACCCCCAACTGCCCTCTCTTGCAGGCCTGGTCCCTCCCAACTGTCCTCCCCTGCTGGCAATCTTATGGCGGCCATCTATGTCCACATGGGAGCAGTCATCTTGTGTGTTGGAGTGATGGTCAATTTGCATATTATTCTTTCATTAGATAGGATTTATATTTCAACCCATTTTGTTAAATCAGCATGCTCATGTTACACATGACTAAAACTAATGATTAATAACAACTAATGATGCTATCACATTAGCAAATTTTAATTGGCATGGATAAAAACATCTTACCAACATAAATGTTTTGTACCCATTACTGAAGCATAGACTTTTATACTCTTCATTATGCCTAATTCAGTGCTGGGCAAAGATAAGTCATCTTGAAGGGCACTAAACTGAACTAATGCAACTTCATGACACTGCACTGAAGGCACCACTTCTGCGGTGACAGCTTTGTTGCCTTGGGCATCCTCGTTTGGACTTTACATTCCTCATTTTTAGTGTGATGAGGTGGTCTAGGGCAGGCGATGCAAACTCCAGGGTCTACCCAGCCCAGGCAGGGAATGTAGATGAGTGGAGAGAATAGGACATTTTATGCACAATGGGAAGGGCTCTCTACCACTCAACTCCAGCTGATCTCAGACATGGAGGAACATGAGCCTGGTCTGATCATATCCTAATTTTTCAAGTGAAGCCAGCAATCCAGATGATTTAACCTCTCAATTTTTAAATGGTACAAACTAATTAAATACTTTCTGACATACTGTGCTACCTGGTCACATGTCAGTGGTCAATAGGGGTAGGAAGTTTGCAACTAGTTCAAATAAACATTGATATTCAATTCATCTATACAAGAAGGTATAATAAAAAATCACTGATCTAAAAAAAAAAAGAAAAATAATACAAACAGAGAAAAATCCCTGTTCTAAGAACTAAGACCCAACATTGATCCAGGAATAGTTCCAATGAATTTTCATGGAGATTCCTTTCCAGTTTAAATTAACTGGCATAAATTATTTTTTAAAAAATGTTCAAAGCCTTACAGCATGCATATCATATAACCTTTACCTTGATTTCATCTTTCTTACTCTTACTTTCCTTTGGTCCTAACTTGTTTTTCTTATTTGAATTTTATTTTAATGTACTATATGTTTCTATAACCCCTAAACCCTCTCTATAATACTATGGAATACAAAACACACACACAAAATCAAACCTAAAATCCCTTCATGCTATGATTATTCATTTCTCAAGTCCCCATAGCTACAAGATTGTAAATGGGCCCCACTGGTGCGGTGCAGTGGTTGAGCATCAATATATAATATGAACCAGGAAGTCACAGTTGGATCCCTGGTTAGGGCACATGCTCAGGTTGTAGGCTCAGTCCCCAGAGTGGGGCATGCAGGAGGCAGCCAATCAATAATTCTCTGTCATCACTGATGTTTCTATCTCTCTTTCCTTCTCTCTTCTTCTCTGAAATACATTTATATATATATATATATATATATATATATATATATATATATATATTGCAATGGCAGCAAAACAATTCACAGTAACAGTCTAGAAAAATCTCCCCGATGTAGTCTGGAGCAGACAGGCTCAGTCTAGAGCTGGTGACACCGGAAACAATCCACAGAACTACTACCCTGTTTCCCCGAAAATAAGACAGTGTCTTATATTAATTTTTTCTCCCAAAGTTGCGCTAGGTCTTATTTTCGGAGGATGTCTTATTTTCGGGGAAACACGGGTAGTACTGAACGGGCTCCAGACCAGCTTTCTCCTGGCTGACTACAAACTTTTGAAATTAATCTTTCTGGTAAAAATGAGCATTATTTTTATTTGTGTATGGGGATGAAAACCCACAAACAAATAAAATCCCCAGTGATGCAAGGAGTCAAGATGAAGTAGAACCATCTGCCATCACCTTTTCCTATTCAGATGATACCTGAAAAGCACAACTCTGACAACTAAGGGAGTGATGACAGCTCTGGACTAAGTGACATCAGTGAGTCATCCACTCTGCACTGCACAGAACCAGCAAGAACATCGCTCCCGTTTGCTTCTTGCAGGGGAGACAGTGGTTCAGGTTTAAGCCTAACTCTGACCAGGGCAGGAAGACTCCTGTGACTTCCCGAGAATTGGAAAGAAGGCTTTGTAGCCTGTCTTTTGCATTAAAAAGTACACAGAGGGCACACACTCCGCAGGGATGAAAAACCAATTAAGAAGAAAATTCTCTAGAACAAGAAATTCAGTATTTACATCCTTTAATTACTAGTGAAATATCTGGATAGCAAAGAAAATACCAAGACCCAGGCTTCCTACAGCTTACGCAGAACAACAATCCTGAGCACACTAAAATTCCAAGAAAATAAAATAACTTGGACACTTCCCTGGGATTGATTGTGATGGGCTTTGACCTGCATGCATAAAATGTTACAGGATAAGTTCTTAAGTACTCATTAAACTGAATATAAAGAATGAAATAGTCTGTGGGTAATCCTTGAAACAGGAAATTCTCCCTGCTCCAGAAATACAGCCAGTAACCAAACATGAGCTGTAGTGACAGACAGAAGCAGAGGTGCAGAGAAGCCCCGAGACCCGCTGCCTCGGTGCCAGGCCCCTCTCCGCACTCCGCTTTTGTGATTATCGAGATTAACCCTTGTTCCTAGGTGCTTTCCACAATCTAATTTAATCCTCCCCACAATTCAATGAGGCAGGAATTATCGCTGTAATTTTATAGGTAAAGACATCAAGGCTCAGTGAGCAAAAGAATTTCCCTGGGTTCACACAACTAGAAAATGATAAGCTGAGATCTGAACTCAGGCCTGCTTGCTGCCAGGGTCCATGCTGTGACTGCCGAATCACCTGCTTCCCTGAGAGAGAGGGAGTTTTCATCTAGAAAGGGCTGCAGGGAGCTGGGCTGAGACCCAATGAGACTACGGGCTGCCAGCAGCGCTCAGACAGGCAGCCCACCTCCCCTCAGTTTTCCAGAGGGCAGCAGGGCAGGCTTTCCTCTCCCTTTCGTTCAGCTCTCCAGCCCAAACATCAAACAACCGGATACACCGAATCTGTCTTGTCTAACTCTGACCTCGATGGCTGTGCAGGTAAGCCTCAATGTGTGAAGCGCTTTAGATACTGTAAAGCAAATGTGTCAAACTCATGGGGCCCACAAAGAATATTTTTGCAGCCCAGTCAATATAACAGAATGTAAGAAATATTTTAATAAAAATTTCGTAACTTAATTTTTACACTATCCTGTTATACATAATTATTGATAATGAACTACAATGTTTGCTAATGACTGATTACTATCATCCTGTTGCATTCACTTCCCTTACGCACCTTACGTGCAGGCACACTATTTCTCTCCACTAATACTAGCAGCGAATATTTTAGTAGCCAATAGCCGCATCATTAGTCTTGTACTGACTTGTTTGATGTGCACAATAGGAAATATTTCGCTTTCAGAGAACAAGAAAAATAGGTTTATTTGCATTACGCTTATTAATTTGTGCAGTTATTCAGTGCCTGGTAAATTAGTGTTCAAGAAAAAAATATTATTTTTTATTAAAATGTTCTATTATTTTATGTTAACGATGACTCATTTATTTCAGCCCTTTTTATTATATTCAGCATGTTTCTATTGAAATAAACCTATGCTTGAAAATTGAAGCTTTTTATTTTTTTCCTGTGGCCCGCATACACTTACACCTTATTTATTTGGCCATGTGAGCCTTTGAGTTTGACATGCTTGCTGCAAAGGATATGTTAAGTGAGAATGTCTTTTTAAAGGACACCTCTTCCCTCTGTATGGAACTCGGTCAGTAGTTCCCTGGCTTGTGAGGGTACTGAACCTGACTTCCAGCGTCGCACACTGATAACTGCTGCTGACTCATGTATAAATATCCGCCTCACGAGTAAATATTTAACAGCTCGCTACAGCCTGGATGCTGCCCTGATCACGCTGAATAAACAGAGTTAAGTGCCATAAAATAAAGGAGCTATTATGTTTTTAAAGGATACAAGGTGGAGGTAAGACCTTGTGATCTTTAATTATTCGGTATTCGTGCATCAAAATACTTGGACTGAGCATGTACACCTGAAGTCTCCCTCGGAGCAGAGATTCAGGCTCACTGGGAGCAGGGCTGATCCTGACTTACCCAGCAGTGGCTGGCCTGGGGCCGGGGAGGGGCAGGAGGAGATGAAAGGGACCACTCGCTCTTGATTCCTCTGATCTCTAGAGCGTGCAGTGGGAAAGCGGGTAAAGGTGAGGAAAAGTCCATTGGTGTGGCAGAGTCTCAGGCTGAACGTGGGAGGAGAAAGTGGGGGAAA